TGGCTTGAAGAGGAGAAGATGGCTTGAGAGAAGGTAGGAAGGTGGCAGGGCTTGATTGATGAAGGCTGAGGCTGAAGGGGACAAGTCAGAAGGACACCCAGGTTTTTGACTGGGCCCTGGGAGGCTCTCTGCTGGGGGAGCTCAGAGGAAAAGGCAGGTGGGAGGAGAGCATGTGGCACCAGAGGTGGATCATGAGGGAGCGACTGAGCCAGCCTGCAAGTGTTTGCACTGGTCTAGAGCCTGAAAGTGAGGTCTGGGCTGGAGCTGGAGACTTGGGTGGGAGGCTGGGTCAGGGGGAACATGAAGGGGAGAGACACCAGGGGCAGACCAGCAGTTGAGCCTGAGATAAGGCCCTCAGGTGGAGGTATTGGGGCAAGAGGAGGGAGAGCAGCCCAAAGGAAGGAGTAGTACAGGTGTGGACTTGGACTCCAGAGGGAGATGCCAGGCCCACTGCCACAGCAGGTTCTCCTGTGCTGGGCTGAGGTCCTGTTCTCATGGGTTGAGGAGTCAACAAAAGGTAAGAAATTAGATACACAGTGTGGCATCCGTGCTCTGGAGCGGTTTGGGTTTGAGGAAAGTGGTGATGACTGAGGGTGAGCGAGCAAGTACAGGTTGAGGGGGACTCATAAGCCTGACTGGGTGCACAAGTGATTATGGCAAGGCCAAGAACTTCAGTTTGCCCAGGTCTTTCCTGGTTTTAGCTCTGAAATCTCATGTTCTGGGAATCCCCACAATCCTGGGGAAGCTAGGAAGGTTGGCTACCTCCCTAGAGAAAGTATAGAAGAGGAGGAAGGGAGAATGGCTGGAGGCTGGTGTCCCTGGCAAATTCCCAGTACAATGCAGAAATTTGTAGAGTGGCCTCTGCCAAAGAACCAGGTCATTAGGTCAAAGGGGGAATGAAATGTGGAGAGGGCATGTGGTGGGATGCAGATTGAGGCATGCAGGGTGCTGCTGCCCAAGAGACCTCAGCTGTGCAGCAGACCTTGGGCTCTACAGAGAAGGTGGCCCCACCTTTCCAGTGCCACCCTTCTCCCCTCATAACCCATTTTCTGTCTGTCTTTGCAGTCCCCACCCCGTGAAGCCCCTCAGTGCTGTCCCTGCAGAGGGCATTTCTGATAGGAAGCAGTCCCGCTCTAGTCTGAGCACAGCTCTGAGCAGTGGGCTGGAGAAGCTCAAAACAGTCACATCTGGTGGTATTCAGCCTGTGGCTCCGGCACCCCAGCTTGGCCAGATGGTGGACACCAAGAGATTGAAGGTGAGACCCAGGGTGCCAGGGGCAATCTGACAGAACATGGTGCTGTGGAGGAGCCTGTAGCATTGGGAGGGTGGAAGAGTGAGCAGGCCAGGTCCCCATGCCGCAGTCCTGAAGTTGGTTAGCCCGTCTCTGGCATCTGAAACAGTTAGCTCTGGGGCCTGTGATGGGGTACTGGGGTGTAGGTGGGCAGTAGGCCAGGGGCTGCTCTGCTCATTCTCATTCCATCTGGCTTCAGGACTCTGCTGTGCTGGACCAGTCGGCCAAGTACTACCATCTGACCCACGACGAACTCATTGGCCTGCTCCTGCAGCGGGAGCGGGAGCTGAGCCAGCGGGATGAGCATGTGCAGGAGCTGGAGAGCTACATTGACCGGCTGCTGGTGCGGATCATGGAGACATCACCCACACTGCTGCAGATCCCCCCTGGGCCCCCCAAGTAGCCTCCCTTGTCCCCATCCCTAGAGGGTTGGTGAGGACCTGCTACCCAGACAGGGGCTGTGACCACCTGTCCGTCCACCCTCCCTCCTGCTGAGCACATTCTCATCTGGGACGGGGTGCAGTCTGTCTTCCTGGCAACTCCATGCTCCCTCTCCCTCCTGCCTCTACTGGGGCTGCTGGAAGTGAGCCCTTGGACTCCTGTTAGAGCCTCAGGTTCCTTTACTACCATGCGTCTCTGGGAGCGCTCAGTCTTTCCCACCTGCCTGTTTTCATAACCCTTAGCTTTGGGGGCTCCAAGAAATTGGAATAGGGAAATTAGCCCCCAAGATGGAACAGGGAGAGCTGCAGTTTGATGTGGTATCTGGGACCAGACTGCTGTAGCACAGACTTTATTATCCTCCAAGGATGTCAGCCATTCCTTCCCATGGCCAATCCCTCATCTTCTTCATTTCCTAGTATTGCTGGGACTGGGACAGGACCAATTTGCCTGTTTGTAGGTTGTAGGCAGCCAGTGTGCCTATTCTTCTGCCCTGTGCCCATCCCCGAGAGCAGGGAGCCCATGTGGCCTGGTCTGTTCTGCTGCGTCCTGAGTCTGTTTCTGTTTGGAGCTGCTTGCATCAGGGGTGCAGTATAGATGGAGGTGGTGCTGTGTGCTCTCCAGGCTGCTCCCTGCCCTTCTCTGGAACTTTCCACTGAGTGTCATGGGTGACTGTGGAGGTAGGGTTGGGTCAGGGGAGAGCTCCTTGCTTTTCAGGTTCTCACCCACCTCTGATGTGTGGACCTGTCCAGGTCTGAGCTTTGGGCTGCTTTTGTTTTGGGGATGAAGCCTCCACATCTGTTCTTATTGTCTGTCCAGATGCCAAAACTCTGTGCTGCTGCAGGGTTTGAACTTTTGGAAACAAATTAAAACGTGCCTTTTGCGGGTGGGGTCAAGAGCCTCTGGATGTAGACCTTTCCTTCCTGGTGGCATCCTCCTCCTGTTGAGCACTTGGGGGTGGCTCTGGGAAGGGGAAGAGGGGTTGGAGGTAGCCTTGCTCTGTGCTCTTCCCTTCCCAGAGTTAGTCTCAGCTAAGAGCCTGGCCAAGTGCTGCTGCCTCCTCAGCCTTCCTGCCATCTTGCCCATTTCCCTCCTAGGCAGATCCTAGGATAAAAACTTCTGATGGGAGCAGGCCTGAGGCTGCTCTGCTCACTCTCATTCTGTCAGGCCTCAACCAAGCAGCAGTTGGCTGCTCTGGAAGTGGGAGGGCACACTATGCCTTAGGAGACACCTGTACATAGAGAAAAAAGCCTTTGTTGCCCTCCCACCTATCCACTAAGCTTCTGTCCTGGCCTGTCCCTTCATCCCCAGCACCTTGCCTGGCTTGGCTGCAGTGCACTTTGAAATGAAGTATCTGCCCTTTGGCTCAGCCCCTGGTTTGCTTATGGAAAGCATAGTAGGCTATCCCCATGACATCTGCAGGGACCCTTTGGTGGCTTGGGCATCCTGCATTAGCAAAGGGTGGGAGGTGAGAAGATGCCAAAGGAGGGTACTTTTGGCCCATTGAAGAGGCAAGAGCCCTTCTGGGGCTCCCTTCTTCATGAGAGCCTGTGGGCTCACTCAGAAGGCCTCATAGGAGATGGGCTCTGTGGGTGATGTCAGTCTTCTGCCAGGATGCACAGGAGCCCCATACATGGGGGAAAGCCCCTGCAGAGTTGACATCTTTAATGTCCACTCAGCATAGCTGAGAAAAGTATCCATAGGTGTCCAGATTTTCAGTTATGTTTTTTGGAGTGATTGGGGGTAGAGGTGTCCCTCGAGTAAGGAGATCACTCCCCTACTAGGTATTCCTCTCGGCTCTAGGTGATCCCAGCTCCAGTCCTGATCTTTCACCATCCTTGATGTTGGGCCTCTCATGTGCTCAGGGCAGGGGTGTCTTTAGAAGGTTTGAATTGAAACCCAGGATTCTTGTTTGATGTTTCTGTTCTGGCCACAAGATGGAGAAGAGCTGCCGTGGGGTGGTCAGGAAGCAGGTACCATTCTGCTTAGCTGTTTGTCTTCCTAGTTGTAACTCCTCTGTTTATAAAGAGCTTGTTCTTCATGTTTCAAGCACTTTATGAAGAATAAAATTTCACATACTGCAGGTGGTCTGTCTTGTTCCTGTTTTGGAATGAGTGTGGGAAGGAGACTGCCTGTGGAAGAAGGCAGCCTTGAATTGAAGTGGGTGGGGTTCACCGATGATATCACAGGGCAGTAGTACAGTGTTGCCCAATGGCTGGGACTCAATCTTTCACCAACTCACAGGATCTCTATTAATTAGACATCTATTATGGCCGTGTTTATTGGTACAGTGAGGAAATACAGATGGCAAGACTTGAATTCTGTTCTCAAGCTACTTTGTCAAGTCTAGTAGGGGGAGATAAATTACAAATCCAAAACACAATTGTTCCTTATAGTTAGCTAGATTCTCTTTTCAGCTAAAGGAAAATTCTGTTTCTTATTGCTCAGCCATTAGTGCTACAACCTGTGCAGGGTTCAGAAAGATTTGGGCGGACATGAGCCAACCCTGCACTTTACCCTGAGACTAAGAAGACCCAAAGTGAGGTTTCCCAGAGTCAAGTCCAAAATAATTTCACTGTCTTCGGTGAAACAGGCAGCCCCTTATACCCCCAGTCTGGTTCACTGACCAGATTCAACAAGGAGTCTTAAGCTGCTCTATGTAGAAGTGTTTACTATCCTTGCTGGGGTTGCTCCTTATCTAAAGTCCTTGGAGCTGGTACTTGCAAGGCTACTTAACCCTATTTTCAGCGGGCTCCCCCCACCTCCCTCCCACACCCCGACAGTTCTCTTCCTCCCAAGAAGTAAGGCCCAGGAGGGATCTTTCTTGGTTGGTCAAAGAAGGTGGAGGGCATTAAGGATTGGGTGGCAAAAGCTCTGGGAACCGAGTGTTAGTATGACTGGAGAGCACAGGGTGGGAGGTAGGGTGGTGATACAAGCAACTGTAGGAAAATTCAGCATTGCAAGTCCTTGCAGAAAGCCCTCCCAGTTAACCCCCACTTCACCTGGAGTCCTTGCCCATCTAGTCCTGGGTCAGACCCATTGGTGGAGGGCCCTTGTTCTGGGCTGCTGCTTCAGGCACGACTTCTGTGACATCAACCCAAACTTCTGTGGGCTGGTTACTAGCGAGGGGCCGCCCGGTGTTCCCCTACCGGAACCTCAGGGCCATGCTTACATACCTTTCCCGTACTACCGACCCCTGCAACACCGAGACGGAGGCTGCGTGGATGCAACTCTCCGCAGTCTGAGGTTGTCAAGATTCTGAGAAGAGAAAAACTACACTTCCCACAACCCCTTGCGCGCCCTGCTTGCTGCGGTTGCTCATGGCCAATCGGGAGAGGCAGCTGTGGCGGGGGCCGAGGAGGGACATTTTAAAAGGGCCGGGGATTGCGGGCGTCAGTGGCCATGGCGGATACAGCGACTACAGCATCAGCGGCGGCAGCTAGTGCCGCTAATGCTTCGACCGATGCACCGCCTTTCCAACTGGGTAAACCCCGCTTCCAGCAGGTGAGGACCGGAGCTGTGATCTGCATGTCGGCGGGTGGCATAGGAAGGGCTGGCAAACTCCCCTCCAAAGTCCCCTTTAGCCCAAGGGTCTCCGACCCGCGGCCACCGGAGCCTGCAGTTAGTGCCGCGGGGACCTCGGCCACAACCACCCTTTTCCCATTGGTCAATGGGCCGGGCGAGGACTCCCAGTTTGACTTCCTATTGGCGGTTGTTTCTGTCACTCCTCTCCTGCCCGCGCCCTCCAGTCCTTCTCGCCCGAGGCGCTCTTTGATTGGCTACTGACGACCGAGGCCCGGACTCCCGGGCGCCCGGGTCCGGTCTGCTTTTGCAGGGTCGCTCCGGCTTGTGCAGCCGCCCACTCCCGGTGCAAAGTTCGGGCCCGGCCCTGGGTGAGAAGTTGGCGTGGCCAGGATGCCTTCTAACTTTTCCCCCGACTAGGACTGACTTTCCTTCCGAGCTGCAGGCTGAGCCGCCGTGCAGCTCCCGCACCTCGCGATCATACTTCCATTCCTCTACCCGCAAGTGGGGTCCGCGCTGCACCGCAGGGTGGGACCACGTGCCGAGTTCTGCGGCTCCCCGGCCTCTCCCATCCCCCAGCCGGGAATTCCCTGACGCAGCGAGTCGGCTGGCCGGTGCCCCGCAGAGATGGAGCTGGGACAAACCTGGAGAGCCAGGGGTGCGGAGGAAACGCTGTGTCATCCCCTGGGGCCGCAGTCCCTAGGAGGGTGCGTGGACCCGGGAACCAGCCCCAGCCTTTCCCTCGCTGATTCCTCCGGTACCCCGGCCCAGGCACCACGGGGCGTTTGGCTCTGTCCAGATCCACTCGGACTCTTCTGGGCACGATGATTGTGTTTCTTTTCTTTCTGGACCCCCGCCTGGGCGCCGCTAACTTGGTACTCGGGTACCATGACAGGGATGGAACCTGCAGTCTCGACGTGTTGTCTGGGCCCGGGAGACCGGAGCCTAGGAGGGGCAATTCCCACTCCGCAGACCCTGGGGCCCTGCTGTCTCCAGCGCTGAAGAAGCGCACTTTATTAGGAAAAGGGCGAAGAGACTCAGCTAAAGCGAACCGGGGATTGCGATGGGTGGGGTGGGTGGCAGAGGAGCCAGAAAGAACTTTGCAGGAAGAAAGGCTATGGTACAAAGGTCGGTGCAGTGGCTTGCTTGCTTGCTTTTCTTTCTTTCTTTTTTTTCTTTTTTTGGCTGCAGTTGTGGGAGGGGGACTGGATCCAGCCTTGAGGTTTAATGATAATTAAGGAACTGCTCTCCTTATCCTTTTGAAAAAATGTCCCCGGGGGTTTTAAATGGGACTAGATTGTTTTTAAAAATAGATCATCTCAGCATGTAGGTATCTGAGAAGATACTGTCATCTTTCTGCTAGTGTAAGATGCCACCTATGGCGAAACTGGGGGTGGGGTTCTCCTGCCTCACCTGGGGTGACCCTTCATTCCTTTCTACATCTCCCATTCTGCTCATCCTTCAGTCAAGCTTAGGCCAATCTCAGGCTGTGGTGTTTTTCCCCCCTGGTCTGATAAAGTCAGGTAGCTGATTCCTTCCTGGAAGCCTCTTTGGCCACCCACAAAGACTTTTCCACCACCACAACCTTTCCCTGAAGTCTTTTCTGTTGTTCTCTACACCGTGGTCATTTGGTCTCAAACCTCATATAGGTCTTTTGAGAAAATATTACCCTGTGGTGTTATGTAGGTAGTTAGGCTTTTAATTAGGTGTTGAGTAAAAACTTCTCCCCTTGTTCCTGTTATCTGTGTGTGGCCCTTGGAATATCCAGTCACCCAATAGATATTTATGGGGTACCTCTTAGTGGCTTAATGACTAGGCCCTTTGCTGTGGAGCCATAGATGCACGTTGGAGGCTATTGGTTCCTACTGCTGTTGCTGGTCCCTCTTTTGGGCAGTAAAGTGTGTGTTGCATTTGCTCTTGAAGCTGTCCAGCATAGTGGCCTGCATAAAGAACAGTGCCTGAGCACATGTGATTCATCCATGTTAAGGATCTTCTCTTTCCTCCAAACCTGCTCCTCCCACACTCTTCCCTGGCTCTCTGTAAGCAGCTCAGCTTGCCACCCAAGTGCTAGTCATAAACCTGGGATTTGCCTGTGTACTTCCCTCTCACTCTATAAGTACTATGAGAGGCCATGATCTCACCTCTGCAACAACTTTCAGATTTGCTCATCTCCATGGCTAGAGTCCAAAACCAGCCCCCCTCATCTATTTCCTGGACCATTGTGGAAGCCTTCAGACAGGTTTCTCTGCTTCCACTCTGGCCCTCTTCCCATCCCTCTCTCTTCTGTGTGGCAGAGTCCCAGCAATGCAGGTCTGATCAAATGATACCCCCTCCCCCACACATGTACATTTAAACACCCTGAAGTGGCTTCCCTTGCTTCTAAGATAAAGATCTCATCTCTGAAGGGGCCCAAAGTTCTGCATAGTCTATCTATCCCTGTTGTCTTCTGTCTTGAGTCCTACCACCCACCCACCTTTGTAACAACCTTCCCACTACACTTACTGCTTTTTAGCTTTTAAATCTATTATGGCCTTTCTACTTCCCCCTCTCCAGGCCATCTGCTGGAATATCACCTCCCCACATCCTCAAATCTCACACCACTCCTCATTCTTAATGAATTAGTGAAGCATCACTTCCTTGGGGAAGCCTCCAAGATGAGTTGACTGTGCCCTGCTACTGCAAAGCAACTGTCTAGTGGATACATTGACTTGGGGATGACTAGTTCATTACTGTCTGTCTCCTCTTTTGACCTTAGATTCCATGGAATCAGGGACTGTGTCTGCCTTGACTCCCTATTGACTCAGCTATGTCTGGCACTTCAAAGATGCTCAGTAAAGACTTGTGAATAAATGAATGTGCCGCAAATACTTGAGTGGGTTTTGTGGACCTGAATTTGACATACTAGGTTGTGTCTGGAGCAGTGGTCATTGTCCCTTAGGAATCTTGTTAAATTGCAATCAAATGAGAGAATGTTTGATAGTTCAGAGACCCCAGAGTTGGTGGTCTCTAAGGGGGTGAATCTAGACAAAATTGTCTGCCTTGGATGTCCTGGGTTCATGAGCTCCTTTAGGGTCTAGTCATCTTTATCTGCCCTCAATATTTAGCATACAGTTGGTGTCCAATGTATACTCCTATTGCCTTGTACTATTCTGACAGAAGCCTGCTTTGAGTAGCTCATAATCTAGCGTCCATTTCCAGAGCCAATGCTGGGAACACCACTCTGTTCTTCAGCTAGTTTCACTACTTTCTGTAGAAATTGGAACCAAAGTATTGCTTTCTGGAGTCACCTCAGAACTTCTCTTCTCCCCGCCCCTAAGAGTCTCCTTGTGCTGGAGTGCAGGGGAGGAAGAACACCATGCAGGATCAGGGGGTGGAAAAAGGGTGATAAATGGACTTTGGAATGTGGCTGTTTTTCTCTCCATAAGATGGTGATAGTTAAGATTGTCCCAACCTGTATGCACATTGAGTTATGAAATTTACACAACCCAGTGGGGTGAGTACAATGATCTCCAGTTTACAGGCAGGAAACTTGTAACATATAAACAGATTAGATGACCTTATAGGCAGACTGGCTCCAGAGTTCATATTTGTTTATTGCCAACTCTTTTATTTTGGAGGTTTTCAAATGTACAAAACTGGAGAGACAGTCATTGAACCTCTACATATAATTCAGCTTCAACAATCACCCGGTTTTTTTCTTTTCTTTCTTTTTTTTTTTTTTTTTTTGGTGCTAGGAATTGAATCTAGGCCTTATGTTTTACAGGCAAGCACTCTACCACTGAGCCATGTCCCCAGCCCCATAATTACCAATTTAAGGCCTGCTTTGTTTCATCTATACACCCCACTCCCAGCCACTAAATTATTTTGAAGCAAATCCTAAACATCATGGCATTTCATTGGCCTACTAGTGGATACCTCTAAAACTAAGGACTCTTGGCTTGTGTTCATTCATTCATTTATCATACTAGTGATTGAACCCTGTGTACTCTACCACTGAGCCATATCCCCAGCCTTTTTAATCTTTTATTTTGAGACAGGGCCTTGCTAAGTTGCCAAGGCTGACCTTGAACTTGGGACCTTCCTGTTTCAGCCTCCAGAGTAGCTGGGATTACAATCATGTACCGCAAGTGTTCTACCACTGAGCCACAACCCCAGCTCCCCTAGCTACTTTTGATTAATTAATTAAATAAAATTAATTTTAATTTTGGATAATTTTAGATTTATAGAAGTTAGAAAGATGTACCTCACATTACCATGGTACATTTATCAAAACTAAAAAGCCAACATTGATATATTACTATTAACTATACTCCAGATTGAATTGGATTTCACTGTTTTTACATCAATGTCCCTTTTCTGTTCTAGGAGCCCATTATATTTAGTCATCATGTCTTAGTCTTCTCTGATCTGTAAGTTTCTCAGACTTCCCTTGTTTGGATGACCTTGATGATTTTAGCAAGTGCTGGTAGGGTAGGATATTTTATAGACTGTCCCTCATTCTGGGTGAAGAATATTGCAGAGATAAAGTGCTCTCTGTATCACATCATATCAGAGGGCTTCTCAATTAGTTTTAATATAACCATAATACCCTTCACATACCTGAAACAATTAAATCTTAATGACTTCACATTTCTTTAATTGTCAACAAATGTGTGTGTGTGTGTGTGTGTGTGTGTGTGTGTGTGTTGGTACCAGTGATTGAACCCAGGGATGCTTAACATGAGCCACATCCTTAGCCTTTTTTTATATTTTATTTAGAGACAGGGTCTTGCTGAGTTGCTGAAGGCCTTGCAAAATTGCTGAGGCTGGCCTTTGAATTTGCAATCCTTCCTGAGCTGCTGGGATTACAGGTGTGCACCACCACGCCCGCCCGGCCCTAAATGGTTTTTTTTTTTTTTAATTATTGTTGTTTGAATGAGACTTCTCTCAACCCTACACATTACATTTGGTTCATGTTTATTTTGTCTCTTGATATTCATTTC